ATGAATACTTGAAGAAGTTGTCAGGAAAACGATTTATGGTGCATGTAACTTCCTCTGTCACTCTTATTGTATTCTTTTATGAATTCCTAAAGAATTACAATTCAGAAAAAAGAAAACTTAAAGAATACTTTGTGAATTCAGTGTGCTATCTGGGTTATTCATCGATATCTCGTGTCCGTAAAGTCGAGTTCAAGTTTCAAATTTCACAAAAATGGTTACAAGATTATAATAAGAAAAAGAGATGAAAAATGATCCCCGATGAGTAATCAAGTTTCATTTCAAACGATTTTTGAAATCTAAACACGGTTTCGCCTGGGAAATAACGAATCGGCAGACAGCTTGGAGACCTGCGCTTCAACTTGTCTCTGACCGCATCTCTCTGTAATTGCCCGAACGTGAGAATTCGGGGATTCGACTAGTTAAACAGATGCGACCTTTGACTAACATTACAAAAAAAACACTACCTGTCCATCCAAATGTGAGAACGTACGGTTTAGGTGGTGTGCAAAGTGTTTTGTGCAAGGTGATTTCTTAAATCGCGCGTACGTGACGAAAAGAAAGAACGTGATCCGCGGCTACGCTCAATTACTGCAATTTGGATGAAGCGTAATCGTTCTGCCGGTTTTAGATTGATTTCGATAAACAGCTGGCATTATCATACGCCGATAAATGTATTGTTATATATATGCGATTAATATAAAAGACCGAATTACAACAAATAAAAGCAAGATTTTCCAAATGGGTATATTCGTTACCATGAGGAAAGACGGCTCTCATTTTGAGATAACTGGTGGTTAGTCTGATGATGCCAGTGAACTCTATACATACCGGAATGAGTGATCTATTGTTCTGGCTGTTGCCGAGAGAGAGGTGCGTTTGGGTGAATCCTTGTCTCCTTCTAGTACTACCTGATTGGATAGTCGCATATAAATGACGAGAAGAAGGGCGTCACTTATATGCGATTATCCAATCAGGTAGTACTAGAAGGAGACAAGGATTCACCCAACGCACCTCTCTCTCGGCAACAGCCAGAACTATAGATCACTCATTCCAGTATGTATAGAGTTCACTGGATGATGCTGGCCTTGTCCAGTTGCGTAGTAATGGCGGCCGGAAGTGGTAGTAGCTTCGCCAGTTCCAAAAACTCCTGATTCTCCTTAACGCGGCGCGACCGCGCTGCTTTTCTCTTTCATCACGATCTCCTGCAAACCACCGGACGTGGTGCAGCTAGCGATGCCGTTCGAATTGTTGTTGTTATGATGATAAGTATCTTTTTGTAAATTGATGCCGTTTTCTTGCTCCTTTATATGGATCATCTCGCTGATTATTCTTTTCTGCCAAAGCGGTTCCTTGTCAAGAATCGAGGCTTTATTCCAATCCATGGTGTGATTTGTCTCAGCCATGTGTTGGGTTAATACCGAGTGTCTCGATGGTTCAATTTACAAAAAGATACTGAGTCACTCGATGGATCATACTTTGACCTCCTTAAAAAGCTAGCTAATTTTAAAGAATAACATTAACAATATATAGATAAACACATGACGCGACCGATCTTAGTTTGTAACTACAAGTCATCAGAGAGCGACACAGATCTGTCCATAAAACTCGCACTAATAACGAAGAACCGAAAAAATGTAAGTTAAAGATATCTACTATCAATTTCTTAATATTAACAATCTAACCAAGAAAATTTACACATCAGATCAATCACCAGAAAAACGGCCCTATTTTAGTCGACTAACTAATAATAGGAAAATCGGAACCGCAGTACAAGTTATTAGACGGGAAAGAACAGATCTCGGAAAACAAAAACCACACGATAGTTAACTAGAAAGAAAATGCGACTTATAACTCTAGACACAAACTCCATCTTATATCTTTTACTTTTTGACCGTATTTATACAATGTAATTTATTTATACACTTTATACATTCTTACAATTTTATACTATTAACCTAAATGTAGATATTTTTACGATTTTATATTATTAACTTAAATTTGCGCTGAAGAAGGTGCTGTGACACCGAAACGTTCGCAACAATCCTGTATACCCTTGAATTTTAACATATACTAAGTAAATGTTTTAAATTATTAACTATTTGTCATCCTTTATTCGCTCGTAACATTGGCCTTTGTATTGATTCATTAAAAATTTTTTTGTTTAAATGATGCCTTAGGGTCTTAGAAATAAGGTATATGTATACAATAGGTTTTATAATGAGGAAAAAGATTTAAGTGCTTATTCCATGAACAAGCTGAGCATGCTCCGAGCCTCTTTCAAGATTCTGTGTGCAGTGCGCTGATTTATGAGGTTTATTGTGTTGTCGATGTGATTTTTGATGAAAAACATTTCAGCGATTTCTCTTTTTCATCGGACATCGGACAAACAAAAAGACACATAAAGACATGCATTAAAGAACACAAGAGAGACATCACTAAACCAACCACATCGCAATCTGTCGTTAGCAAACACCACATTGATCACAACCATAACTTCGATTGGAACAATCCCTCGATCTTAAAAATATAGCCGTATGTATCTACAACGATGGTTTATTAAGATTATGAAGATTATGGAGGTATTAGGCATAACAATCGGGCAGAACTGCTACAATTTTTGCATGGAAGCTGACGCGCGCCGTATTAAGTTTTCGGAACGATCGCTGACTGATGCTGCAAAAGAGGCTCGGCTGTCTTCAACATCAACCAGAAAGGAAGAAGAGGAGAAAAACATAAATTTAGAAGGCCAATTGTATGGTGCAAGCATCGCAGACTAGAGGTAAATAAAAAATTTCTATCGATAATGCTACATAAAACTTTAAACGCGTTTTTCGAAAAACTGCATTTTTCAAACTTGCCGGAAACATAACTGCATAACTGTATTATCAATCTACTTGAAAATTTAACTGTAGCTTCACAATGACATTATCTAGGGAACTACGTACGGATTTTACGTTTCATTGTAAACTTTTTTGTTATAAACGATTATTCACGCAATCTTTTACCTAAAAACGAAACTTCTTGTTCAAACGTGCGTCAGTTTTACAAAACACGGTATTTTTTAATTTCCGTACGTACTTCCCGAGCTAATCTTATATAAAACTTAAAAATTTTTTATTTTTTGTTCCAGGTCAAAAATTGGAGGAGGTATGTTTCCGGTCGTGGAACACTATCTGTGAGAAGAGGCTTTCTTTGCTGAGCTCTGGTGCCGCCATTTTGTATAAAAAAATCTATAAAAATTTATAATTACACTTCAAAGTATGTGCAAGAAAGGCCTTTAAACGGATTTTTTATTCCACTCATTATATTCCCATAAAAAATTGTCAAAATTAGGTTGTTTTTCCGGGCGCTAGAGTGGCATTACCCCTTAATCGCATATATGTATATAACAATACATTTATCGGCGTATGATAATGCCAGCTGTTTATCGAAATCAATCTAAAACCGGCAGAATGATTACGCTTCATCCAAATTGCAGTAATTGAGCGTAGCCGCGGATCACGTTCTTTCTTTTCGTCACATACGCGCGATTTAAGAAATCACCTTGCACAAAACACTTTGCACACCACCTAAACCGTACGCTCTCACATTTGGATGGACAGGTAGTGTTTTTTTTGTAATGTTAGTCAAAGGTCGCATCTGTTTAACTAGTCGAATCCCCGAATTCTCACGTTCGGGCAATTACAGAGAGATGCGGTCAGAGACAAGTTGAAGCGCAGGTCTCCAAGCTGTCTGCCGATTCGTTATTTCCCAGGCGAAACCGTGTTTAGATTTCGAAAATCGTTTGAAATGAAACTTGATTACTCATCGGGGATTATTTTTCATCTCTTTTTCTTATTATAATCTTGTAACCATTTTTTTTGAAATTTGAAACTTGAACTCGACTTTACGGACACGAGATATTGATGAATAAGATGCTTGTTTTCTGTCGCTGCACTGGTGAACTAGTGCAATAAATGTATCGAAATACCGTACTTCTACTCGCAATCCCAGTGAGAACATTAACTAACTCAATGGGGTCGAAACCGCGTTCCAACTATCAGTTTTCGAAAATAGTTGAGTTTGGAACGTACGCAGACCAAGACGATTCGTTGGATACGACAAAGGCTTGAAAGCGTTCTTTCCTATTATATTCAAAGACAGTAGAAGATGCTTTGAAACAGCATCAAATGAACAACGTTCTTGTGTTCTAAAATTCACTGTCAACGCTGAAAATCTAACACACTTTACGTGCATAGATTTTCAGCATTGGCAATGAATTTCAAAACACAGCCCAAGCTCTGCCATCAAAAATACCAACGTAGCATTCAGAAACGTAACGTTGTCAAGTCGGCAATTTTCGAACACAAAACATTAAATTAATCATATTTTCTGATAATGTTAACATTAATATTACGATTTAGAATTAAAACTTGGCGCTTAATGTTACCATTTTATTTTACCAAATTATAAAACAGCCCTTTTCATTATTACAAAGTTTTCATACTCTACACGGAGAGAATTTTCTCTTAAAATTTATCCTGGAAATCATGGGACGACTTGGCATTTCGAAGAATTTTATGAGTTTTTTTTTAATTCTTTGAAACGCCATGTTGTCCCACGATTACACAATTTTCAGGATAAATTTTAGAAGAAAATTCGCGCCGTGTATATCGGTGTTGTTAATGTACCTTATTTTTATGTATAATAAAAGGGTTTACAATCATTACGAACAAACCATTTGGTCTTTTCATAGCGTTAACTTAAAAATTGCTAATGTGCAAGGACAGGAGTATCCCTGCCGCCATCTATTTCCGCAAACGGTCGGACAGGCTGATGGCAGAGAATGAAACGTATAAAGTATTATTTTGTGCGTAAAAACTAATAAAAAGAATTACAAGCGCAAAACCTATATCGACCCTGCGAGTACATCAGGTCGATAAGTCAGAACGCTACTGCGACCCGGCGAGTTGATCACTGCATGCGAGTACACGTTTCGTGCGCATAGAGGCGCCACCGGACGCCTTCTGCTCCAAACGCGGGCATGTTCACTCTCGCGATTCTCTCCGTGAAAACATACCGCGGAAGTACTTCAGAATGCAGTGGAGAGGATATTCCAAAATATAACGTGACGTAAGTTTTACAAATCTGTAGCGAGTAAAGTGTCTCTTTCAATAAAATAACATATACAGGAACAAGCGACAGCCGTTCTTCAATCCGGTAATACCCGAGGAGGTCAGCGATCGTCGATTGCGATTGGTAAAAACGTTGGAGAATTTGATCAATCAAAGATGAGTGACAAGCAGAAAGTCCTCATCTGCGGGGACGTGGAGGGGCACTTCAAGTTCCTATTCTCCAAGGTGGATGCCATCAACAGGAAGAGCGGCCCGTTCGACTTTCTGCTGTGCGTCGGCAATTTCTTCGGCGACGACAACTCCGAATTGGAGCCGTACAGGTCCGGCGAGAGGACCGTCCCGGTGCCGACGTACGTCGTCGGTCCCAACCGCGAGTCGGACCTGCAGGACTATCCCGACGAGGACGGATGCGAGCTCTGTCAGAATCTCACCTATCTCGGTAAACGCGGTCTGTACACCGCCAGCTCGGGCCTCAAGATAGCGTATCTCAGCGGAACCGAGGGAGCCCCGTCCAAGAGCAAGGCCGTTCACTTCGACGAACACGACGTCGTGTCCGTCCGGAACAGTTGCTTGAAGGGCCAGCCGAGTTTTCGCGGCGTGGACATCCTGTTGACGTCTCCGTGGCCGGAAGGCGTGACCAATCTCGACGCCAACAAGCCGGAGTACAAGTACGAGGGCTCCAAATTGGTCGCCTGGCTCGCCACTCATGTTAAACCTAGGTACCACGTGTCGGCCTTGGAAGGGATTTATTACGAACGGCCGCCGTACCGGTGAGTACACCCCGCTTTAAGTTTGTTTCTGACAACAAGTGCAAAAATCAAAATGATGTTTCTTCGTTACAGAAATCAATGCCAGGGTGACGGAAATATGGAGATCGCCACTAGGTTCATAGCGCTCGCGCCGGTGTTGAACGACCAGAAGAAGAAGTGGTTGTACGCGTTGAATTTAACTCCTGTCGACAGGACCAGGCTGTCGGATCTGATTATGAAGACGACGGACGAGACGCCGAGTCCGTATCCCAAGTCTATGCTGTCCGACGATCCGACCTCGCAGAAGCAGGCTCACACGCAGTTTTTCTACGACATGGACTCGAAAGACGACGCGAAGAGATCGCGGCATCAGAACAGCGGCCACAAGAAGGCGAAGCTGGAGTTCGACCAGTCCAAATGTTGGTTCTGCTTGTCCAGCCCGGTGGTGTCCAAGCACCTGGTGATCTCCGTCGGCACAGAGATCTACTTGGCGCTGGCGAAGGGCGGCCTGGTGGAGGATCATCTCCTGATTCTACCGATAACGCACCACCAGAGTCTGTCGATTCTGCCGAAAAACGTGAAGGAGGAGATGGACCTCTACAAGAAAGCCGTAACCAAATACTACGGGAGCACCGACAGAGTACCTGTGTTCTTCGAGAGAAACTTCAAGACGTCCCACTGTCAATTGCAAGCGGTACCTGTTCATAAAAATCAAGCACCCGCGCTGAAAGAAATGTTCGAGGTATCTTTCTTTTATTTTTCTCACTAAAGATTTTTTTTTCACTAACGTATCCTTTATCTTGGTATATCAAATGTGTACATTTTTGTTTTCAGGAACTGGCCGAATGTAACAATTTCAAGATATCGGAGCTGCCACAGCACACAGATTTGCAGCAGGTCGCTAAACCCGGCGTTCTATATTTTTATGTAGAACTACCGGACGGAGGAATCTTGTATTACAGGATCAAGAAAGACTTCCCGCTACAATTTGGTAGAGAAGTATTGGCATCCGACAGGATATTAGATATCAACGATAGATCCGACTGGAAAGATTGTCATATGAGCCAAGAGGAAGAGACTGAGCTAGCGAAGAAGATTAGAAAACAGTTTGCATCGTTCGACATAGACACTTGAAAATATTCGTATTATTTACGCTTTATAAATATAATATGCGTACAGTAGTGTATATACTATTTATGTGGAATACGTAATTATAAAATTAGAATTTTATAATTTATTTTTATCTCAATTTTTATATACATGTAATATCTGAAAAGTGTACATAGCTTAAAAGTACATGGGATTATGGTATCATGGCACAGAGAATATTGGCAGGAAGAATTAATTTTCTATTAAAATTACTGACGACTGGCTTCTGATGTACTATTTGCCTGATATTTTAACTCGTGATCAGCCGGGGTTATCGACGGATCTAATCCACACTGTTTCATTTGAACCGCAATGTCGAGCAAATAATCGTAACATTCCGTCCTGTGAAAGGAAAACGAAGACATCTCGACATAAGGATCGTTAAATAAGCCTCGCTGCGACAGTGAAATAACTCACATAGTTTTTGCCTGTTGCCAAGAATCGCCCCACACGTAAATCCCATGCCTGCGTACCAATACCGCGCACGTCTCGGGGTAACGAACGATAGTCTTGTCCAAGTCGTCCCGCAGGTCCCTCTCGAAGGGAGTGTTCTCTATGATCGGTATCACCAGCTCCTCGTCGTAACGATACGCTCTGCCCTCTTTCTGATTCCATATGCCTGCGCACGTCGAACAGTTTCGCCGTCAGTTTGAAGTCAAACTGTAAACGGACTCGAAGAGACTGATTTGTATGCCACCTTTTATCATCTCGAGATGGGTGAGTCTGACCTCTTTCCCAGGCCACAGTAGCGTCGCCATCACGGCGAACTTGGAATGCGTGTGGATCACGGCGCCGGCGTGCCTTCTCAGATACGCGCACATAAACAGCGGGGTGCACTGCGACTTCTTCAGCTTCTTCTCCGCCGGCGGCAGTTCCAAATCCGTGCCGTCGATGTCCTGCACGAACATGTCGTTGGGCACCATACGCTCCTTCTGGACGCCGGAAGGAGCTATGTAGATCTTGTCTCTGTAGAACAGAAATTTTAGTCAACGTCCGTACTTTCAACAATAGCTCTGTATACGTGACAATCAAGATTCTAGGACGAGTATCGATTGTTGCAGATCTTAACTCGTGTTTTATGGAGATACCGCCGCCGGTGCCGGTCACCCATCCGAGATGATAAAACTGCCGGCAGAGTTCTGGAATAAGGTTTCTCGGGTGCTCCTGAAGACGAGAGGCATCATAGAATCAAATCGATACACACATAAATGAGTTAATAAATTTCAAAACTAAAATTAATATTAAGGCCCGGTTGCACGCCATGTAATTGTTACTTCAGCTTAATTCACTCGTCTCTTTCTAAGGAGAACAGAGAGAGACGAAGAGCGAATCAAGCTAAAGTTAAGCGACATTGGTGCAACCGGACCTAGTACGCGTGTACGTGAATAGTACGAGAACTTTAGAACAGACTGCTATGAAAGGTTCGCAATTGAGCACATTCTTGATTTAACAAGGAGCAGCTTTATAACGGAGTTCCTTAAGAAAAGTACATCTTCTTCGACATTCGCAGACGCCTCTTATGCATCGTACTTTGTCATAGCTGGCATCGCAAGCCTCCGACGACATCTTGGCTCCCGCGACGACTGAGGGACGAGATAGCAATGTACGACCTATCAAAGCAAAGTCATTATCAGCCGTGTGTCACGCGTGCGAGATAACAGGGGCTCGGGTCTTGAATTCACTCGAGAGAGAAAAGTGTGCGAATATTCTGAAAACGTTCTTCTTTGCTATGAATATAATACGACTTCTAATTGTATGATCACAGGTTTCACTGTCTTTTGCATAAGTGTATTAAATATATATTATATTGAATACACTTATGCAATAAACAATTAATGTACAATACATAAACTCGATGGATATTACAAAATTATTCTGAACAAATATTCCAAAGACGTTCTCGACTATTCTAAAAACGTTCTTCTTCGTTACGAAAATACGATTTCTAATTGTAACAATCTAGGTATATTTATAGAATATTCGATCGGAATATTCTGAAGTTAAGAATGTTTGCACCCCAGAAGAACATTCATAGAACTACGTGTGCTATCTGGGAGAAAGTATCGGCATATACAATCGCTGTATTTTCAAACACCAATGCGTACTGTGCACGAGGTCCGGTCTAGAACGAGTCGTTGGTCATAAATCAGAGACTCGATCGTGAATCCTTCTCTCAAGCGTCAACTCGCGAAAGGTGAAGATTTTCATTGGCAAACGTTGAATTTGTTAACGGAACTTTTCACTTTTTGTGAGTCGCGTTTGAGGAAAGGATCCGT